AAAAAAAAAACTGCAAAAAAAAACTTTGTTTGCTTTGAGTGATAAAAACTGACACTAAATCAGAGCTGACACTGTGGCTTTGGCTAGCTAGAGCCTTAACTGACGGGCTACTCCCAAGTCTTCTTATTATTCAGAACTAGGCTAAACAAGGCTGCTTTAGTCATTCCTCGTTGGTCTGAACAATGACTTTTTACTCGATTCGATTCTTAATTTCTACCATAATGATATTCAGATGATTTTCTTAAATAATTAATCAATGATGTTGATTGAAAGTCGTTTTCTTCTGAGCAACACAGTCTCAAAAAGCAAACCTATATTTATCCTAAATATACTATGTTTTTTAAATTCACTTTAAAACATATCATTAATAGACACAATTTCCAACCCTACTTTATGGCAAACCCGCCGCAATGACAACCAACATCCTGTCCACTTTCAAGAACTTGCCGCTCATGGCAGTAGTCCTCAGTCTACCGCCCACCAACAGACCAAACTGCCGCGAACTTTTCGCATTTTCTCCTCAGCACGAGGCGGCATGGCGAGGTCACCTTAAGACAACCCCTGCACTCATTTTTATTTATTTTTTCTCGAGTGGCACCGTCCAACTCCGGGTATTATCATTGACCCGATAGCGAACCATAGATAAGTATGGTCTGCATGGCAGGTGGTATTGGCCCACGGTATTTCTTGCAGGCTTTTCCTCTTCAATGTAGCCCTATTACATTTATCTTCAATGTATCTTTAATTCATTCAAAGGTTATGAATAACCGTATTTCACGCCATTCTCAATTTTTGAATTGAGCCCATGTCACCCGTATTTTGCTAGCCTATGTGAAAGAATAGATACTGAAAAGGAAACACAGACACCCACACAAACACACAAGTTTACGCAATTATGCACAACATGATAATGCAGTGGTGTTGGCTAATACATTTGTCCACAAAATTGTTTCTCCCTGCCATATAAATTCACTAATGTGGTCGTCATCAAAACCATACCATGAATGCACTATTAACAATGTAAAAGGTAAATATATGATATCTGGCCATACTGACTTCATGGAGCCTACCTTTCGTTATGTCGTTTGGTCTGCTACATTGGACGGGGCATTGCATTCATTGCTTGTTAAAGATCCGTACAAGAATATGCAGGCCACATGGTTTCGTGCGAGTTCCAGTGAGTATATTGCTCCTATTTGAAGTTCCAGGGACTCTCACTAAATCCGATTAACGTTGCTGAACTTTGAGAGAAAGACACACAGAGAAACATGACACACAGATTCCATTGGCATGTCCATGTCATCACTGTACACGTCTTTATTCGTTTCCCTAAAGTAAAAAATATATTTTCCAAAGTGCCCTGTTATGATAAAATTCCCACTTCACAAATGTGCAGAACTATTAGCTAGGAAATACTGGAAGGCACACGCAAACTTGAGCTATTGCATTGGTCTAAATTCAATATGACTTTTAAGCACGAGCGCCTTATAATACGTATCATTCCATAATGATCCCTGCATTCTAAACTTTTTTGATCCCGTGTTAAAAACAGGCATATATAGATTCGATTTGATAATAATACATTTATTAAACTACAATGGCTCGCGCTTACAGTGTACTAATCCATGCATGCTTCAGGTATTATAGAATTATAACATATATCTGATATTGCAATATGTGCAATAGGCCCATGTTAAACCTAAAACAAACACTACATGTCACTGGATTAAAAAACCTTACATAGCCTAATCAGAATATTTTTTTGCTGCGTAAATGCAACAAATGTGCTGAAACGTGACAATGAAAATGCCAAACGAGGGAAACATGTATTATTATTATTATTATTAATAATAACAATAATAATAATAACAAGAATGCGTATTATGATGATGTTGATGATCATTATTATTATTATTATTATTAATATTAATATTATTATTAGTAGTAGTAGTAGTAGTATTACTATTAGTATATAGGCTACTGTAGACCTAAGTAATTACCAAAATATTGCACACAGTGGAGAACTGTCTTTCAAAGTACACAAATAAATCAGTCTTAATTGCTAGGCCTATAATTTATCTAAAAAGCCACCAACAATTTGTATTGGCCTATAATTCATCATTTTAGAGAACGTATTGCATTTAAAAGCATCGTTTTGATGTCCAAAACGTTTTAGATGTTTTTCATATCTCCATAAGTCGTTATACTGTGAATTTATATTTTCCAAAATATATTGCCACGAAAGTAGTTATTCCGATTATTACAGCAATAGGCCGAATTCGACCAGAAACTTGAATTACCAAGTGAGCATGGGCGGTGTGTTCAATAGGGCGATATGGGCGACGCACTGCCAAACGGGAAAAGGAAGGGAATTTTTTTCTAATCAATTATATCACGGCAACAGTAGTTATCAGTGTTCACGTCTGATCTGCCAGCCACTAAATATCAAATCAGGCTAAAGTCGTGCTTCAAATGGCCCCGCCCGTTTTTGGGGCGATTTCAGTCAAGTTGAAAATCGCCCAGAAGTCTCTCATAGCCTGTCATGTAAAATCTATTTTTTTCAAATTTCAAAGCTTTCAATACATTCTCTATGGGTGTCTGTGGGCATGCACTTACGCGCTTTCGTCATACGTGACGTAACCATGAACGTAACTAAGACAATGGCGGCTAGCAGCGTCTCTGTTGTGACCTGCAGTGTGGCGTTATTTTATGTTTTTAATTTGTAGACTTAGTTTACAAACATTCTGCAAACATTCTGCTTTGAACTGATCTTTCCGTTTTGGACTGATCTTGTTGATCGTGTACATACCCGCTACGAACGGACTAAATAATGAAAACGCTGCAGGCAGCTGTAATCCCAATACAGCTGGGAGACTTGGCTGGATGACAGTCCCGGACAGAGAAGTGGAGCCGGCCACCTTCACCCTGGTCAGAGCGGACCGCGATCCTGGTAAGAGAGCGACTCTGTACCCCGACATTGAACTGCTTTCTGTGTCATTGCGACCTTACTATCAATTCAATTCAATTTAAGGGCTTTATTGGCATGGGAAACGTGTGTTAACATTGCCAAAGCAAGGGAAGTAGATAGTAAACAAAAGTGAAATAAACAATAAATATTAACAGTAAACATTACACTCAGAAGTTTCAAAAGAATAAAGACATTTCAAATGTCATATTATGTATATATACAGTGTTGTTACAATGTGCAAATAGTTAAAGTACAAATGGGAAAATAAATAAACATAAATATGGGTTGTATTTACAATGGTGTTTGTTCTTCACTGGTTGCCCTTTTCTTGTGGCAACAGGTCACAAATCTTGCAGCTGTGATGGCACACTGTGGTTTTTCACCCAGTAGATAAGGGAGTTTATCAAAATTGGGTTTGTTTTCGAATTCTTTGTGGATCGCTGTAATCTGAGGGAAATATGTGTCTCTAATATGGTCATACATTTGGCAGGAGGTTAGGAAGTGCAGCTCAGTTTCCACCTCATTTTGTGGGCAGTGTGCACATAGCCTGTCTTCTCTTGAGAGCCAGGTCTGCCTACGGCGGCCTTTCTCAATAGCAAGGCTATGGTCACTGAGTCTGTACATAGTCAAAGCTTTCCTTAAGTTTGGGTCAGTCACAGTGGTCAGGTATTCTGCCACTGTGTACTCTCTGTTTAGGGCCAAATAGCATTCTAGTTTGCTCTGTTTTTTTGTTTGTTCTTTCCAATGTGTCAAGTAATTCTCTTTTTGTTTTCTCATGATTTGGTTGGGTCTAATTGTGTTGTTGTTGTTGTTGTTGTTGTCCTGGGGCTGTGTGGGGTCTGTTTGTGTTTGTGAACAGAGGCCCAGGACAAGCTTACTTAGGGGACTCTTCTCCAAGTTCATCTCTCTGTAGGTGATGGCTTTGTTATGGAAGGTTTGGGAATCGCTTCCTTTTAAGTGGTTACTATCTGCCCCGTGAGTTCCCCCAATTGTTTGTTACCGTTGTGTACTGTTGATAATCACAAGTTTACTGGAGAACTGAGACCAAGTAGAGACTTTGGACAGGGTGGATATGGTATAATAAAGGCAGTTTATTCAGAGGTAAAGATATCTGGAATCGCGTGCACGGACTCGTTCGTGCACGCGAGTAAAGTAAAAGTGTCCTGTCTTAGGTCAGCTAGGATCACCACTCCTTGGCCACCTGCTGACAAGGCTGACAAGATAGGACTCTTTTGTCCATTGTTATAGGATAGGAACAGAAACAAACGCCCAACACAAAATGGGTCATGCACAAGATTTTAGTCAGACCAAGCTATAACATTATATATTTACTACGACAGTACATTCAACCAAAAGCTAATATAACAAAGGCATCAGAGATTATTTATAATCTGTCACAGAAACTGGAATCCATCTCCCCAGATCAGTCAATAAATGCTTCTGGTATTGACTTATATGCTGCCCCTGTCTTCATGTTGTTGCTGGACATATCTTTTTTAAAATGTGTGTAGGTCACCTAAATCATCAGAAAAATTGCCCCTCCTGAGAATTTTTTCAGGAGCCGCCACTGCAAGTGAGTGTAGAAGACGAACTTCCGTTTGAATTAGCCATGCTCTCTTACAAATTGTATTTGCAGTCTCAACTTGCAGTAGGCTAGATAAATCATTAGACTACCTCTCTTTATTTGGGGTGTCTAAACATGTTGTAAATTAAAGTTAATTTCATTGTTTGCTTTTAGATATTTTCTAGGGTCTCGAATCATAATGTGTGTTTGGTTTGGATTGTAGGAGGAGTTATAACTAACTTCTCCATATTCAAATGTAGGGTGGCTTCTTCAAGGAACCCCCTCTCCCTCCCTTTATAAAGAGACCATAGCTAGTGCCTTTAAGACTAGACAAATTAACGGCTTTGGCGAATTATTATCTTACCAGGGTAGCCTATATAGATCCTCAATTTTGTCGAACCTCAACAGAAATTCTATATGGTCAGTTGACAAGGTTCGTTTGAGAGACGGGATCTGGGGAAGAAGAAGATGATGATGGAATACATTAATGATAAATTCGCATTGAAAAGTCAAGCGATTAAGGGCAGCGACTATTACATGGGCTCTGGCAGCGGGCTGGACCAAGTTATGGAGAGTTTGGACAGTGTACAGTACTACAGCAAAACCTCGCCCAAGTGTGTGCATGCTTTCGGGCTACAGACCACCGAGCACCACACCCGAATGGAGCGGTCCTCGCCGTGTGGAGACCAAAACGGTTAGTTACTTGCCCCTTTTCACTGTCCATGTGTAAAGCGTTGCCAAAAATATTTTTCAACTGCCGCTGAAATGTGTTTGCTAGATGTGTTGTTGATGAGACTTGTAAGGCTATACCTGCAGGCTGTAAGTAAAAGCGTTACCCAAGTTTTATTGAAACAAATATGTATTAGGTTATTTTACGCATGTTATTTTAGCATTCAAATAGTATTGTGCCTGTGAAACGAAGATGGTAGGCTGCATAATTTCATCATTATGTGCCATATCTCAAACAAGTGATTTTTTTTAGGTGTTATGTAATTCTTATTGCTCTGTCCAAAAAAAAACTTTTAAATGTAAGAAAGCTATTGGATTGAGCCATTTAGGTTTTTTTTATATTGCCAAATTGGGAATACATTGAAAGAGCAATGGGCAGATGTGATCATATTTAAAATGTCATACAATTATAAATATCCTAGAAAGTGTGGTTTTGTAAATATGTGTTTCTGGCTTTGTCAATAATAATATTAATATCAACCATCATCAAAACTGAAATGCAACCGTGCAAATCTGTTTACATTAACTGCATATAGGTTAGAGAACAAATGGGCTTATACATCTCTTACATTAAATATATTTGTCAATATTCTTTATAGGCCTATCACTTGCATGTTGTGCAAAGATTACCTTTTAATGTAGCATCTGCCAGCCAGCATATATGCCTGTATTGTTGCATTATCGGCGTTATTCTGCTAAAACTGTTGAGCTAACGTGTTATTTTAATTATGCCTGTAGCTCAGCTGGTAGAGCACGGCGCTTGTAACGCCAAGGTAGTGGGTTCGATCCCCGGGACCACCCATACACAAAAAATGTATGCACGCACGACTGTAAGTCGCTTTGGATAAAAGCGTCTGCTAAATGGCATATTATTATTATTATTATAAATGAAAATAAAACATTGTTAAAGTAGCCCTATTATCTAAATAACCCTATTTTTAGCTATATTTTTTATTTATACTAATACAATATAGAAACATTGATGTATAATATTAATAATAATACTTTTCTATTTCTTTCCTATAGCGAATTATGGTGTCCCCAAAACTGAAGAAGATACCTTGCACGTGGACCTCGGGAGGTCGATAGAGAACTGTTGCAATCTGAGGGCCTCGCGGTTAACGGCAGGTCAGGAGAAAACGGATTTGGACGAAATCAGTGACAAGTGTGACAGTAACGTATCGAGCAGTAAGAAGCGGCGGCATAGGACGACGTTCACGAGCGCACAGCTGGAGGAGTTGGAGAAGGTGTTTCAGAAAACTCATTACCCAGACGTTTATGTGAGAGAACAGCTGGCGATGAGAACGGAGCTAACTGAGGCCAGAGTGCAGGTAGGTCTGATTTACTCTCACTTTCATTCAGTTATTCTCTAGGCCAGGGGTTCCCAAACTTTTCCACAGCATTGGGGAACATCCCGCGCCCGCCCCTTCGCACGCGCCACGTCTTTTTCTATGGGCACAAGCACTGTTCATGACACACTGTTCACATCCCTCTTGTTGGTGGAGAGAATTTAGCAGCTTTAAAGCTTATTTCCTGCAATTCTACAAGTTTTGTCATGGGGTGCAAATAGTATGTTGCAGTTTTAAAGCTAATTTTATTGCAATTATATACATTTTGCCATGTCTAATGTGCATTCATGTGATATTTGAGTGACTAAAACATTTCAACAATATCTATAGGCAAAATAAACTAAATACAAAAACGTTAGCTGACAAGAGGAACTGATGATGCACTACCCAATTTCGAAATTGCACCACCTGCATTCTACTATTACAACTTTCAAGAGGAAATTTAAAGCCGGACTGAGTTCCTTTAAAAAAAAAACAACAACAACATGATATTACTGTGAATCACAAATGTAAGCACGTTATTTAAAATTAATTGTATCTCTGAGTGCTTAGGTAAGGCCTATTAGGCCTATGTGCCATCAAATATTGGCTAAAGACAACGTCATGCTGAAAAAGAAGGGTAGCCTTCACTACATATTGGCCAAGTAGCCTAGGCTATAGCCTAAGCCTATAGCTCAGTTATTCTTAGGATAAGATTGATTATATTTCTCTCTATTTCTCCCTCTAGGTGTGGTTTCAAAACAGAAGAGCCAAGTGGAGGAAAAGAGAACGTTATGGGCAGATTCAACAGGCAAAAAGTCATTTTGCAGCGACATATGACATATCAGTGTTGCCAAGGACGGATAGCTACTCACAGGCAAGTTTGGCTTTTACCAGAGACACAATTTAATTACCACTATTGAATCCTTTTTGGTAGACTAGTCATCATATGGAATTAATCATTTGATTTTGGTGTAATACTTGGTAATTGTTAACAATAATTAGAGCCTATCATGCGTATTTAGCCACACTAACTTTTTGTTTGTATTTTCAAGAGTAGCCTAGGTAGGCTAGTAGCCTACACATTCACTATATTAAATCAAATGATAGTGCTCTTGCCTGCCACCGCACCTTGATAGATTGAGCATCTTTGACATAGGCCTATATTAATAAGATGTATAAGGCTATGCACCATATTTCAGATAAGACTTTGATCGTTGATTAGAATGTATCTCGGCAAACCATTGAAATTAATGGCATCTTAGATTTCTCTGAAAATGATTTATCCAGTCGATGGGACGAGGCTAGTTTAGGCCTATGGGCTTTTAAAAGGGCAATCCCTGACTGCTACATTATTTTTTGGTATTTCATATTGTGATCTATATACCCATTGATTCTGAAATAATATAATTTGTTAATTCCTCATGAGCTTAGTTCAATTGTCTTACCTTATTAGAACCCAAAATATAAGCTTGTTTTACTCCTTTGTTTGTAAATTTTGTAATTGTAAACAAATACTGTATAGCCTCAAAACATGCTTAAGGGCAGTACTTGCATCCATATAGCTCTGTCCATGAATTTGAGAGTGGTTCAATTTCTCCAGGCCCATCTCTCAGCTATTTACCAAATCAGTGGCGGGGTGGCGGCTTACTTATTGTTTGAACTGCAGATTGCCCCTTTAAAGCGAACATAAAACATAAAGCCATAAGGGGCTGCCAGAACGCATCCCTTTAAAACATAAGTTATGAAGCAAACCTACCCTTTTAAATGATGATACATTTCTGTATCTCTGACCCTTCTAAATCCTTTGGTGGGGTGTGGTCACTGTAGAACCCGTTTGGTGCTTTTATAACACATGTAGGATAGGCTATAGCCTACACTTACAGACTAACATCTAACAACATCGAGGCTATATTGTTGAAGAGGATAAGCGTTTGAAGATGTAGGTCTAAAGCCGTGCATGGCCTCAGGCTCTAAATGCCCTGGCCTAAATCCAGGCCCGAATTCTGTGCCACATATTCTGTTCCTTCTGATATGTTTCCTGTATAAACACTTGAATAAATCTCCTCTAATATAGTTTATCCAGATTACTTACTATAGAGGGTACTGACCATAGAGATCCTAATAAATTACTAGAGGGGCTATGTAATGAACCCTAAACGTTCCAGAATGGGAGTATAATGGCAGCCATATTGGTCAGGGAGAAATCCAAACCCATCTAATTGGAATGAATGGCAGTAGAGGCATAATCCTACAGTAATTTTACTTAAGCATTAAAACAAAAGTAGGCTAAGGCATGTGATAGGCTAAATCAGAAATTGTGTAATATGATTACTGTCAACCTAAAATATTGTCATATAATTATAAATACAGTTTACACAGGTTTTATAGCCTACCAATTTTATGTAGGGTATAAATAGCTTCTAAAATATATTTAAACAGACTAAATGTCTAAATTTAGGTTTTCTTGGAAAGCTGTGAGTGCTATTATATGCATTTACAACTTGTCTAAGTCCTATAATCAACTGATTTCAACCAGTGTATGGCTGTGGATTGACTGCATTATTTGAATGGAACGTTGGCATATTGGCAGTTAATTTGAAAAATGTATGGAATTATTCCTCTAAAACTGGCTGCCTAGCTAGCTAACAAACATACAGCACAGATCAATTCTTCAAATTCATTATTTTACACTATCTTATCACAGCACTGGCAAACCATGATTGACCAACTCCCTGACCAAAATGGCTGGGCCCGGTTGCATATAACACCTTAAGTAAATTTCTCCTTATCTTTTCCCATAAAGTAGCCTTAACTTTAAGTCAGTTGCACAAAACATTTTAAGGTAAATTTCCCCCTTAAATTAAGTGAAAATGTTAAGGGTGCCCACGAGGTCCCTTAACTGCTTCATTCAGTATGGATGTTAATGTAAACACCATTTGTGGAGGTGAATGTTGCTTTCATCTGCTCTGGGGATGTAGCTCAGTTGGTAGAGCATGGCGTTTGCAACGCCAGGGTTGTGGGTTCGATAAAATAATGTATGTGCTAACTGTAAGTCGCTCTGGATAAGAGCATCTGCTAAATGACTAAAATGTAAATGTAAATGTTACAAAAGGAAAACATCAACCAGCTAGCTACTTAGCCAAACAATGGAAGGTACACAATCTATGTCTACAAAGCTAGCTGGCTAGTTAGCTATAGCTACTCTGTAAGCTAGCTTGATGTACTAGAAAGTAATATAAACAAGTTGAGAAAAAACTAACTACAAGAAACATGTTTTATTGTCTTCTGAAGCAATTTTGTTATCCTGTCTTGATTGTAGAAGTTATATTTTGTTATATCACACTGAAAGCGATCTCTTTGACTAGATTAGTCAGTGAATCAGGCCATCTCCATGGTAACCAGATACTCTTTCTGCCATACATACATGCCTTTAAACTACCATAAAAACCCTCAAATATGCCCTTAGCTAAATAAATATTTGAGGGGCTCTATGCAACACCCTTAAACAATTCCCTTAGGTAAGGGGAAATTATTCCTTCAGGCAAACCCTTAAGGGAAACACTTCAGATATTTAATGCAACCAGGCCCTGATCTTTATCCCATCATAAGAAGGTTCATGTCCATTCTAGTGTTCTAATTCCTAATGCTATGGTACAGAGCGTAAGTAGGGGATTGAAGTATGCCAATGTATCTTACTGTTTGATTTACAGCCATGTTCAAAGTTGATGATTTCTTCCTTGTAAATACTGTAGGGGGGAACATAAATTGCATTTTTGTGTGTTGGACGTGGACATTTCTATGAAAAAGCAGTGTCTGGATCTGTTTTAAAATATTACATTTGTGCCAAAAAATGTACTATATTTACAGATCATTGACGTCATATATAATATGCTTTCTGATGTCATATGTCTATGGAAATAATTTTGATTACAACCAGTTGAAAATGAAATGAAATTCCCATGCAAAGCTAAACAAACCGTCATTGCATATGACCACCAAACCATACCAAAATCTACACCCCCACCACAATTAATTATGTTTCTAGTATTTGCTAGATATGTCTGTAAACCAACGTTTGGCAGGGATGTTACAGTAGTTGCAAGGGAAAGGATGGGTGCAGATACTGATCTTAGAGATGTGATTTTCCCTAATTAATCAGGAATACAATTTCTGACATCTGGACTGGTAGCCTTCTCCTTGATTTTCTATTATGTCCTTGAAATCAGAATTCTAAACTTAGGCTATATACTGTAGGCTATCTGAAGTAGCCTGTTGTAGAGTTACACATTTGGATGAAATGGTATATCATATATTATCATTGTCTAAAACTGATAAATACTTTGTCAAAGAAAATGTGTCCTTAATAGAATTGATGAGAAGAAAATAGAAAACCTTTATAATCCACACAATCTGGGGCTTCATTGTGGCATACACATAACATTCAAAACGTCAGGAGCAATTCATAATCAAGATCATTCAACTTTCCTGGTAGAATAGAAAGGTCAATAAATAACCAGATAAATTACCTATAATTTCCCTTCCCAGATCCCCAACAACCTGTGGCCCAGCCCTGCTCCCAGTGGCTCGGTGGTGTCCTCCTGCATGCTCCCCCGTGGATCTCCTCCCTGTGTAACCTCCTACTCCCACTCCTCCCGCTCCGCAGCCGACCACGGGTATGTGGGCTTCCCCAACCAGCAGAACCAGTTTGGACACGTCTCCCTCAATAACTTTTTCACGGCTGACTCCCTCCTCACGCCCTCACCCAACGGACATCCATTCGAGGCCAAGCCTGAGTTTGAGAGACGCTCATCCAGCATCGCCGTCCTGCGGATGAAGGCCAAGGAACACGCGGCTAACATATCCTGGGCCATGTGATGGGGATTGTGAACGTTCCGTCCGCCCAACCGACTGACTCACAGCCACTCTAACTTTAACATTAATACTACGCACAATAATTATATCCCCAACGTTGTATGACTGACAGAGAACTGACTGTGACACCGGATTGATGGAAGAGGACTTCCTTAAATTTGAATGATGTAGGCCTAGATGCTGATCGATGACTAGCCATCTGCTGGAGAGACATGCTCCTCAAGGGGTCAACAAACTGTCAGGTCAGAGGACAGAGATGATGAACTGATACAAGGTTATTAAAGGTCACCTGATCAAGGTTGAGCTGTGAGTGCATATCAGTTTAATCCACACAGACAACACTTACTTTCAGGTTCACAACCGATGTGAAAGAGGAATGGAAGCACTCCCCTAAGTGGGCCCTTTTTGCCAATTATTATTCATAATAAGGCACAATGTGTTGCTGAGAACGTGGTCCTCTATGGCTTTTACACTCAACTTCGGTTTGTCCTACACTGTAGGACCTACAGTACAAGTGTTGAACTGTGTATATTGTCATTCCCTGTGCTTTCTAATTTCATTACCCCATGCAGCTCTGGACATATAGAGGAGCAGAACAGAAATGAAATGGGACTGACATATTAACATGTCTGTGTGCTTTGCAGCAAAGCTATGTAACCCCCATTAGCTCTGTTTGTGTTGTGCTATATGGCACCAGCACAGGAAGCAGTTGGTATGTTTGTAATAAGACAATAAAAACATATGCTGTGACATCATTTTTGATTGTATATGTTTTGTTTTATTGTATTTCCCTCACTCATTATAGACTCGGGGTGGCGATCCGGGTCGTCGGGACAGGGATGTAAACCAAGGGTTAGGCTACACTACAGTAGTGTGAGTGAAGTATTACAATTTATAATATGTATAATCTACATGGAAATAATAATAAACATGGAAAACTCTTCGGATAGTGCATCTCTTCAGATACTCTATAAATCCCCCCTCTCCCTCCTATAGTCACACACATTATATACTGTAGCCCACATGGAAACCGAACATGAGCATGTTCTATGCCTTTGTCCTCTTCTAAAAGGTGACGGCAACCCTTTGTGCTGCTCACTCTCTGAGATCACTTTCTATTCTGTGGTGGAAATCATCTCATCGTGGAAAACGTATCCATATGAATGGCACGCTTGATTCAATTACAACCGTAAGTTGTGTCAGATGCTTTGATATGGCACTGCCTTTGTTTTACTAGGGGCACTACTTCACTTCCTGGCTATTGCCAATCAAAAGTACGTATCAGAGTATTTTACTGTATCTACGACGTGCCAAAACAAGGGTCTTTTAATGAGAAGTTTAGGTCTTAAAACAAGACCTGGAAAATGATACAAGTGCTCAGCCTGATATGTGCTTTGAGGTCTTGGCTTTCAGATAGCAGATATTTTGGACTGGTTCAGAGCACATTGGATCAATTGCAACGCATGTCATTACAGGAATGATGTCATTTTCTTGGCTTCGGATTATCTCTATTTTTAGTTAAACTCCAACTCTTATCTTACTAAAATTAATCTATTCATCTAGCCTGCTCAGTAGACTACAGTGAGGGAAAAAAGTATTTGATCCCCTGCTGATTTTGTAAGTTTGCCCACTGACAAAGAAATGATCAGTCTATAATTTTAATGGTAGGTTTTATTTGAACAGTGAGAGACAGAATAACAACAACAAAATCCAGAAAAGCGCATATCAAAAATTTTAAAAATTCATTTGCATTTTAATGAGGGAAATAAGTATTTGACCCCCTCTCAATCAGAAAGATTTCTGGCTCCCAGCTGTCTTTTATACAGGTAACGAGCTGAGATTAGGAGCATACTCTTAAAGGGAGTGCTCCTAATCTCAGCTTGTTACCTGTATAAAAGACACCTGTCCACAGAAGCAATCAATCAATCAGATTCCAAACTCTCCACCATGGCCAAACCAAAGAGCTCTCAGCTTGGTGAGAAGGTGACAACAGTTGGTGTGATTATTCGCAAATGGAAGAAACACAAAATAACTGTCAATCTCCCTCGGCCTGGGGCTCCATGCAAGATCTCACCTCGTGGAGTTGCAATGATCATGAGAACGGTGAGGAATCAGCCCAGAACTACACGGGAGGATCTTGTCATTGATCTCAAGGCAGCTGGGACCATAGTCACCAAGAAAACAATTGGTAACACACTACACCGTGAAGGACTGAAATCCTGCAGCACCCGCAAGGTCCCCCTGCTCAAGAAAGCACATATACAGGCCCTTCTGAACTTTGCCAATGAACATTTGAATGATTCAGAGGAGAACTGGGTGAAAGTGTTGTGGTCAGATGAGACCAAAATCGAGTTATTTGGCATCAACTCAACTCGCCATGTTTGGAGGAGGAGGAATGCTGCCTATGACCCCAAGAACACCATCCCCACCGTCAAACATGGAGGTGGAAACATTATGCTTTGGGGGTGTTTTTCTGCTAAGGGGACAGGACAACTTCACCGCATCAAAGGGACGATGGACGGCGCCATGTACCGTCAAATCTTGGGTGAGAACTTCCTTCCCTCAGCCAGGGCATTGAAAATGGGTCGTGGATGGGTATTCCAGCATGACAATGACCCAAAACACATGGCCAAGGCAACAAAGGAGTGTCTCAAGAAGAAGCACATTAAGGTCCTGGAGTGGCCTAGCCAGTCTCCAGACCTTAATCCCATAGAAAATCTGTGGAGGGAGCTGAAGGTTTGAGTTGCCAAACGTCAGGCTCGAATCCTTAATGACTCGGAGAAGATCTGCAAAGAGGAGTGGGCCAAAATCCCTCCTGAGATGTGTGCAAACCTGGTGGCCAACTACAAGAAAAGTCTGACCTCTGTGATTGCCAACAAGGGTTTTGCCACCAAGTACTAAGTCATGTTTTGCAGAGGGGTCAAATACTTATTTCCCTCATTAAAATGCAAATCAATTTATAACATTTCTGACATGCGTTTTTCTGGATTTTGTTGTTGTTATTCTGTCTCTCACTGTTCAAATAAACCTACCATTAAAAATATAGACTGATCATGTCTTTTTCAGTGGGCAAACGTACAAAATCAGCAGGGGATCAAATACTTTTTTCCCTCACTGTACCAATATACCATATATCGCATAAGAAAAGCTCATGATTCACATTAATATGCTTCCTTCCAAGAGATGGAGGAGGCAAGTTAATAAAAGACCAACGTCCATTACCCCATACAGACAGTGGCCATGTCCAAATACCCATACTAGTATGAGAAAAAAGAATGTTTTGTAGTATGTGAAATTTCAAAAATAGTACCCCCGAATGCGTCATCAAATGCACAATTCTTCTTCTTCTATGATATATTCTTCTTCTTCTTCTTCTTCTTCTTCTTCTTCTTCTATGATATAATGGCAGTCTGCAAACCAACGTTAAAGGTGCATGCCGCCACCTACTGTGCTGGAGTGTGTGGTCAATCACGGTTTGCAACATTTCTAAATCCTCCTACATAACTCAGCACTTCTGAGAAAATAACAAAGTGCCCTACTAACTTCTAATAGACCCTACCTCATTCCCAAAATCCCTTCCAACCCCCCCATCCCCGTCCAACCTCAATGACCCTACACTTCAAGCTTTCCCCCTCTTCAACATATTTACAACAATATAACAACACATGCTCCACCATTTCATCAACCATACACTCCAGACACAAACCATTCACATGCTTGCCAACCAGATGTAATGACGAGTTCAATGTTCAATGTCCTAAGCGCAATCGAGCAAACACCACCTCTTCCTTCCTAATCTGATCTTTGAATCTTGGTCCACCGACCTATCTTTGGAGGGCATATAAATGCCGGCCCTTGGGCTCAGAGTCCCATCTCTTCTGCCACACATCTATCAAAATGACTCTGATCTTACATTTGGCCTCACCTCTACCCATTGGAACATTAATATTAATTATATCTTGTTTCAAAGCTCTTTTGGCTAACTGGTCTACAATTTCATTCCCTTCCACGCCCGAATGTGCTGGGACCCAGCAGAATCGCACTACTACACCCATTCTCTCAACTGTTCATAATAACATTAATACCTCCAATAGTAGGTCACTCCTATTAGATTTAACAGATGATAAACTATTCAATACAGACAGAGAATCTGAGCATAATATAATTCTAACAGGTTGTACGTCCTCCACCCACTGGAGGGCAAATATTATCGCCAACAGTCCAACTGAGTATACAGACAGTTCATCTGTTAGTCTTCTAAATATCTGCACATCAAATTCATGAACGTAAACGCCTGCTCCTGTGTGCCCACTATCTGGGTCCTTGGATCCATCTGTGAAAAGCGGTAAAAAAACATAAAAACTTCTACCAATGTAATTGTCAACCAGTTTCCCTATATCACTGATTTCTGACTAATCTTTCATTTTCTCTACCAAGGTTAGATCAACAACAGGATCTAGGAGAAACCATGGAGGAACCCCCTATCACCACAGAAGGGCCAACCTCCAACTCACCCAAACCACTCTTATCAGCGAGCTTTCCAACTGTCCAACCAAAACCACTGCCTTGTCTACTAGTATATTCCCAACAGTCATCTAGAACAGTAGCAGTGGGATGCTCAACTTCACAGCCTTTCAATCTAAACCCATAAGCTAATTACAATTTCTTACGCCGTACTGTATATCCAGAGGCATCTCACCTGCCTCCACTAGTAAGGCACATACAGATGTTGATTTAAATGCACCAATACATATCCTTAAAGCTATATATTGGATTATGTCCAGCTTCTGAAGCCAAGTCTTCGCCGCTGTTCCATAAACTATACACCCGTAATCAACTGTCATCCTGATCAGAGCTCTATAAATATCCATCAACGATTGTCTGTAAGCAAGCCATTCATAACCAGAGACCAAGAGCATAAGATTCACCACCTTCTTACACTTTGTTTTAACATGTATGACATGATCTTTCCATGTAAATCGCTCATTGAACCATAGACCCAA